GGGGGCCTCATCCTTGGCTTAAGGCAGTTCCTGCAGGTAGCCGTTATTGCTTTGGTGGCCACCAGGAGGCGGTGCCCCCTGCCCCTTGGTGGTGTCAAGTGGAGCCCCCCCCCCCCCCCCCGGCAGCCTCAGGGAGTTCATCTCTGCAAAGAAGCTGCACAGGAACGCACAAGCAGGAGGAGGCAGAAAGAAGCCGCCTTCGCTTTGCCGACAACCCGGAACTGTTTCGGAGCCTGTCCACCTCCACGGTGCGAGTCCTGGGGAAGCGGCTGGGAAGGGAGGGTCCGCGTTAACCGGTCCAGGCCTTCTGCTGGTCAGCATCACCCTGCGGGAGGAGAGAGAGAGGTCCTCCACGCTCCACGGCTGCTGTTCCAGAAGTGCCTTCGGATGTTGCGTGTCAGTTCCCCACGGGAAACGGCTCCTTGGGCTCCACAGGGTTCCCCCCTCCCTCTCCAGCAAGCCTTTGCCCGGCTTCAGAGACACTTGTGCGTTGGGCTCTTGTTGGCACCAAAGGGCTTCTCGGGGAAACATCCCAGGAGGTTGCAGCAGGTTCTCTAAAAGTGGATCGGAGGCTGGGAGTCGGATGGATGCCCCAGAGGAGGCGAAAAGAGACCCCGCTGGTCCAAGCAGCTTCCCGATGGTGTCGTGAGCACAAAGACCTTCTCGGTGGCCCGGCTGCCAGAGGCCACGTGGGGCAGGCCCAGGGGAAGTCGGCTTGGGCCCTCCGGAAGCCGGGGCGCGGCAGAGCCAGTGGCCTGAGGGGAGGGGGCCGAAGGGGCCAGAGCAAACCGCCTTTGCCCCCGACACAGTCCTGCTGTCTGCAAAACCCTCCAGTCTCCCCTGCAGGTGCACCAGGGGAGGGCTCCCGCCTACTCCCGTATGCTGGCTGAGTAGGAGAACTGTGGGAAGTGAGTCCGCTGGTCGGCATCTAAGGAGCCCATGCTGTCATCTGTGGGCACAGAGAGAAGAGAATGAGCCACTGCAGCCGGCAGAAAGCTGGTCACCCCAAGGGTCTTGGAGGCCAAGGAGGGGCTTGAAAACCACCTGCTCCCATCCTTGGGCGCCCAACCATCCAGGCCTAAGACAGGGTGGGCACCTCTGCTCTTGTTTCACGGCAGGGCACCTGCCGCCTTGTACTCACATCGGTCTGGCGGGGTGATGGTGATCGACTGCGCCGTGAACTCATCGTCGAAGTACCGAGTGTCGATTTCAGACGTCACCTGGGGCTTGAAAGGGGGGATGAGCTGCCAAAGGAAGAGGCCAGTTTACTCTGGGACCCGTCTTACTCCCTGCCCAGCCCACCACCCTGCAGGCTGACCCAAACGACAGCTGCTCGAGCCCAATGGGGAGGGGCGAGGAGAACAAGCCGCTTCTGAAGCCAAGCGGCGGGTGTGCGAGGAGGAGCCCCAGGCCCTCGCTTTACCTTCTTTTGAACCACATCCTGCCAGTTAATGGCGGCGAAGAAACGGTGCTCCATCACCTCCTTGGCATCGTTAGGACCACCCCCTAGCCTGAAAACACGAAGGATGCTGGGATTACTTTCCTGGGAGAGAAATGGGGGGGACCACATGATGGGAGGGAGGGAGGGAGGGAAGGAAAGGTCTCTGCCTGCAAGGATAAGCCTCCCCCCAGGGAGAGGTAGGGGTCAGGGGGAGCCAACTGACAGGCCCTCCTCCAAATAAACCCAAGAACATTTTCTAACAGGGAAAAAGAAAACCTTTAAAAAGTGGGTGGGGGGCCCTCTTGTGCTTTCTGGCAGCGCCCAGGTGGCCGCTGGCTCTCTTGGGACCCTCTCCCACCACCCGGCAGCCTCTCCTACGGCCCAGTTTCTTAATTAAACATTTTTCTTGGTTACTGCGGGGCAGCGAGGTGCCTTTTTAAAAATTCAATGTGTTTATTATTAGACTTGCAGACTGCCCCCTTTAGGGTGATGCACTATTCCAAATGGTCGTTAGCCTCTCTGGACCCACAGCCAGGGGGTTGTGGGCAGCCAGGCTTGGGTCACTGGAGACAAGAGAGGAGGAGGAGGAGGGAACCTCCCTGCCAGGGAGCCACCGGCCTGCCTGCCCGCCCGCTTGCCCGCCCCTCTCCTTGGCCTGCACCTACCTCTGCTTGGGGTCCTTCTTCAACAACCCAGCCAGCAAGGCTTTGGCCTCGGGGCTGAGCGTGCGTGGGAACCGAATCTCCTCCATGAGGATGAGCTCGAAGAGGCGCTCGTGGTCCTGGTTGTAGAAGGGGAGGCGCCCGCACATCATCTCGTACATGACCACGCCCAGGCCCCACCAGTCCACGGCCCGCCCGTAGTCATTGTCCTCTAGCACCTAAACAATTAGGGGGGGGGAGAGACAAGGAGAGGGGCTCTGTGTCATCTCGAGGGCGACGGGGCAGCTTCGTTTCTGGTGCAAGGGGCAGGATGGTTTGTTTTTTTTTGGTGGGGTGTCTGTGTCCAGACTCAACACCAGTCAGACCAAAGGTTGTACTGGAATGATCCACCATTTAGCAGCTGCCAGAGGAAAGAGGTCCGAGAGAAGCAGGGGCCAGCCCATCCCAACCCACTTGTCGTTTCAGATTTTCGCTCTGGCAGGGCTCTTTCCTGGGCAGCCGCTCGCAACCCCTTCTCTACCTCTCTTCCTCCCCTTGGAGGCCTTCGTCTTGACCAAGGAGGGCTTCTCCCAGTACCTCGGGGGCCAGGTACTCCGGCGTCCCGCAGAAAGTCTTCATCGTGGCTCCGTCGGTGATGCCCTCCTTGCACAGCCCAAAGTCTGTGATTTTTATATGTCCGTCTTTATCCAGCATCAGGTTTTCCAGCTGGAAGGTACGAAAAGAAGGATCAGGTGCCCATTAAGAAAGTCGGATCCAACCAGCAAAGAATCCACCCAGGCAAGGGCAAAGTTCCGCAGCCTTACCTTGATGTCGCGGTAAACAACGTCCCGGGAGTGGAGGTATTCCAGGGCGGAAACAATTTCAGCCCCATAGAAACGGGCCCGATCCTCTGTGAAGACACGCTCTCTTGAAAGATGAAAAAAGAGCTGGATGGGAAAAAGACAGAAGGAGAGAACGATCAGCCAATGCAAAGAGGGATTGGGGCCGAGCGGCAGGGCTGGGCGGGAAGAGCGCCTGCAGTTGGGCTCACCCGGGGCAGCTCCCAAGGATGAAGGGAAGGCCAAGCGGCAAACGCCCAGGGCAGACACAGGCCCCAGCCGGTTTCCCCTTCCAGGCGGGTGCCCTGGTCCAGCAGGGCCTGGGG